GTCTGTGTCTGTCTGTGTCTGTGTCTGTCTGTGTCTGTGTCTGTCTGTGTCTGTGTGTGCTGTTTGACTTTTGGCATCAGGAGCTTTTACAGCTTTGCGGTTTCAGATTCCTGTTATGGTTGGAGAATATATTCACTACTATTTCAGTCTTTAAAATTTTTTTTATGTGTCATTTATGGTAGAGTGTATGGTGTGACTTGGTGAATTGCCCAAGTGCTGAGAAGTCTGTTCTCTAGCTGATGGCTGCAGTGTTCCATAAACGTTAATTAGGAATTGTTGGCTACCTCATCCAAATCTTCTGTAACCTGACTGGCTTTTTTTTTTTTTTTTTTCTTTTGTCTGCTGCTTCTTTTAATTATTTTTAGCAAAGGGATTTTAAAACTCCAACTTTAGGAAAATTCAGAAATGTTCCTTTATTTATTTATTTATTTATTTATTTTTTGTTTGTTTTTTGATCTTTTTGAGACAGGGTCTCCCTGTAGCCTCAGCTGGCTTGGAACTCACTCTGTAGACCAGGCTGGCCTTGAATTCACAGAGATCTGCCTCCTGAGTGCTGGGATTAAGGCCCTTCTTTATTTTTTAAGATAAATTTTATTGTGTGTATTTTGGGGCTCACAACCTGACATTAAAGGATGCTATTGTTAGTAAAATGGTTACTATAGCCCAGCAGATTAACAGCTCTGTTAATTTACATAATGACTTTTCTTGAGTAGAAGTTAAAATAAGCTTATTTAACATTTCCTGATACACCATTTTTAAACTTACTCTTCATGGGGTACCCCTGCTCTCCAGACTCTTACCCTGCCTTTGTGCCCTTTCACCTGCAGACCGCCCCCCCTGCGTGGGATCATTCTCATCTTTGTGAAATGACGCAGCATTTCCTTCCTGTCTAGGCTTACTTCACTCAGCACAGGATCAGATCCATCCATGTTTTGGCAAATGGCAGGATGTCCTTTCTAAAAGTTGAATAAACTGAGTGGGTGGCACATACCTTTAATCCCAGCACTCAGGAAGCAGAGGCAGGCAGATCTCTGTGAGTTCAAGGCCAGCCTGGTCTACATAGTGAGTTCCAGGCCAGCTGGTGGTACAGGGAGACCCTGTCTCAGAAAGACCAAAAAAAATAACTGTGTACATGTTTGTGTGTGTGCATATGTGTATGTGTGGTACACATGCACTTTGTGTATGCATGTGGAGGCTAAAGGTTGATGTCTTCCTCAATCACTTTCCATCGTTTTTTTGTTTTTTTTTTTTGAGCGCGAACGTTATTTATTTTTATTTTATATGTATGAATGTATGAGTGCATGTAAGTGCATCATGTGTGTGCAGTGCCCGAAGAGGCCAGAAGAGGGCGTTGGATCCTCTGGAACTGGAGTTACCGACAGTTATTAGTTGCCATGTGGGTGCTGGGAATCGAACATGGGTCCTCTAGAAGAGCTGTAAGTGCTCTTACCTGTTGAGCCGTCTCTCCGACCCCAGCTTGGGTTTCTTGAGGAGCTTCTGTGCTGTCTTCTGTGACACTGTGCCAGGCTGTAGGCCTGTCAGCAGTGTGTTGGGCTTGGCTCTCCAACACACCCATGTCACTGTCAAACCGCAGTGGACTTTTGAACATGACCCTCTGTGGATTCTCAGGGAACCAGCACACCTGTTCCTTTCCTCTGTATGCATCTTTTTTTTTAAAAAAAATTATTTATTATTTTTATTTTATGTGTATACGTGTATTGCCTGCTTATAGGTACATGCACCCATGTCGTGCAGTGGCCGTGGAGGACAGAAGAGGCTGTTGGAGCCCCTGGAACTGGAGTTAGGACAGTTGTTAGCTGCCATGTGGTGCTGGATTCTTTTTTTCTTTCAGACTTCCTCTCCACTCCTTTCTAGAGTTCTGCAGATGACGTAATGCAAACATGGCTGTCTCAGGTGATTACTTAGAAGAACCAATAATAAGCTGTGAAATCGTGATGCACTGGCCTTCATGCTGACACCAACTCTTGAAATGCCAAATGGCCTGTGAACTAGTTACAATCAAGAGTTTGGTACTCACATTTTCTGGTCCTATGAAGAGCATTATAATTAGGTGGCACCTAGTTGTCATTAAAAAATCTTTTGTCTTAGCTGGGCGTGGTGGTGCACGCCTTTAATCCCAGCACTGGGGAGGCAGAGGCAGGCAGATCTCGAGGCCAGCCTGGTCTCCATAGTGAATCCAGGCCAGCTGGGGCTACAGGGAGACCCTGTCTCAAAAAGACCAAAAAAGCCAAAAACCAAACCAAAACAAAACAAAACAAATCTGAATGAATTTTTTAATTTCTGGGGTGCAAACAGTAACTCTCAGGAGCATTTGGTGATTTTCATTTGACTGGCATTGTTGGAACTTCTGATCCAAACCAAAGGTATTGATTTTGAGTGAAATAAATGAAGGTATTATCAGTCCCTGCCCTCTGTCATGTGCTGTGTTAGGATTTATCACACTTTCCTCCAGCTTGGCACGTGTGGCAGATGCCAAGGGGCCACCAGGGCCTGACATGCTTTTCTTTGTATTGGGGGTCTTACAGGGTACCTGTGATGAGATCTCACCTGTTTGGATGGAAGGACCCAGGTTATTGGTTCCTCTGTGAAATGACCATCTGCCTTCCTAGGCCTCAACAGCTCACCAAGGGCTCCATTTCCTAACACTGTTGCATTGTGGATGGAGTTCTAGTGATGCAGCACAGCAGCAGCTAAAAGGAAAGCGTGTGTGGCGGGAATATCACCAGGCTCCGCCAGAGAGCCTGTAACCAGGGGCACCCGTGAATATTGGGGTCTCCCGTAGGAAGTCCCCATAGGAAAATGTAGCCCTGAAGCAAATGGGAGGGCTCTGATGGAAAGACCCGGTGAGACCCTTGCCCCAGCTCACCATGTGTTGGGCCACTGACCGTGTAGGGGAGATATATGCTGTCAGGTGGCCCTTTCAGGAAACTATAAGTTGAAAGTGATTTGATCATTTAAACATTTTTTTTCTTTTAACGTTTTTTATTTATGTGTTTGTGCAAGTGTGTGCCATATGTGTGCAGGCACATGAAGAGCCCAGAAGACTGTGTCAGAGTCCCCTGGAGGTGGGGCTGCAGGTGGTTGTGAACTGCCTGCTGTAGGTGCTGGGAACTGAACTCTGACTTCTGGCAGAGCCCAAGCTTCCTAACCACCGAGCCGCCGCTGTAGCCCTAATTTTTTTTTTCACTTTGAGGATGAGTCCAGAAGTGACTGTGATTACTTCCAGCTTCCCACAGAGGCTGCCATGTATGGGCCCCAGGGGCAGGGCTTCCCACCCAGCCGTGTTGGGGCCCCAGGGGCAGGGCTTCCCACCCAGCCGTGTTGGGGCCCCAGGGGCAGGGCTTCCCACCCAGCCGCGTTGGGGCCCCAGGGGCAGGGCTTCCCACCCAGCATAATCGCACCTGGGAAGTCCTCACCTGGATCTGAGTGGTGCACTTGGCAGTGTTCTCCGCCTGCAATCTTGCATTTCTCCCAGGGCAGCTAGGTGACAGTGATGGTGTCTGCAGGCCTCTGCCCTTCAGTGTGTTGCCTTGTCCTCAGGGAGCCCGGCCACAGCCCTTACTCTTCAGCTCTTTACTTGAACCTGGGTCCCACTTGGTCCCACCTGGCCATCCCTTCTGAGGAACTTTGTCTGGTGTTTTACAGAGAAAAGACGTTTGAGAAGGGCACAAGTCTCCTTGTTCACACCCACACCTTCCAGGTCCTTCTCTTAAATCTTTAAAACACTTTAGTGAGAAGACCTGAGGTGTAAGGCCAAATGCAGGACCTTTGGTGACGTTGGGAGGGTGTCATTTGCTGTCTGCTCGTAGCCAAATCCGATGTTACCTTTTCCTCCCTTAGTGAAAGGGATGCTGTGTGGGGTGTGGTGGGGTTGAGACAAACAGGTGTACCTTGCAAAGATCTCTAACTCTGACAGAAGTGTTAATTTGTAGTTATTTGCTTCTATATCAATAGACCACAGTGCAGGCTCCTTGTATGGTGCTTGGTGCTTAGTAATTGTGGGTGAAATACTGTTACAAAATGTACAGTGCTGTGGGCCTGCCCACCAGCTTTCTGCTGTTTACTCAGGTTGTATTTCCCCAGTGGATGGACATATCAGGAGGGTCATAGCTCAGTTCCCTCTGTATCCGCAGGTCCTGCAGGGTAGGAGCTGGTTGCTGGAGCTGATACTGCCCCTTGACTGCTCCTGGAAGACTCATTTACAGACTGGCTCGAGTCAAAGGGAGCAGCAGTCACCTACCTCCACTTCTCTTTACCCAACCCGTATTTTGTTTTTATTTTCTCCTCAGAAAAGAAAGACGTGACTCAAAGCCTGGAGAACTACACATCCAAATGTCCTGGGACGATGGAGCTCATCACTCTACCAGATGGCCTCACACTGCCCCCGGTGCCTTTCACCAAGCTGCCCATCGTCAGGTGAGGGGTGTGCGCAGTGGGGAGTGAGTGGGACACGGCCTCAAGGGACACTCACACTCGGGGCCCGCAGAAGAGCCCGCTTCTCTTGACAGTCCACTGACTCAAGACCTCTTCTTTTTTTTTTTTTTTAGTCTTTTTTGAGACAGGAGCCCCAGCTGGCCTGGATTCGCTAATGGAGAACAGGCTGGCCTTGAACTCCCAGAGATCCACCTGCCTCTGCCTCCTGAGTGCTGGGATTAAAGGCGTGCACCACCACACCTGGCTTTACCTCTTAACATTTTTTCTTTATTTTTGAGAATTTCCTCCATGTATACAATGAAACACATCTACCCCCCCCCATTTTCCCCTCCAGGTACTCCAGTATCCCTTCGAATAGACCTCCCCCCACCAGATCCCCCTCCCATCTTCCTGGCTTCTGACCTCTTTAAGCTTGACCACAAGTTTCAGAGGTGACAGTAGCTTACAGAGAATTGAGGGCAGTGCGTCCTGTAGCTGCTGTGGTCTGTTTGTGCCCAACACATGGATAGCTGTGAGCAGGCGGGGCCCTGCTGGCCTCTAGGCCAGGATGGAAAGCAGCTGGCCTGGTCTTCTCCTGCCTACAGATGACTCCCTTTCCTTGACCTGCTGCAGGGCTGCTCAGGAATGGAAGGGTTCTCTCCTCCCAGCCTGGGCTCGCTCTCTCCTGAGTTCAGGCAGGGCTCCTCACTGCTTAGGGTGTCCCAGCCCCTGTGTTCTGCACCGACTGAAAGCAAGTCCTGTGAGCCTTCTGCCACTGTGCCAGACCTGAGCCTCCTGCCTAAGGCTCCCCCCAGCTGTGAGATTTGAGCATAAGGCCCATGCTAAGTGGGCACTGGCAGGCCACCGTCCGAATCCCTCCCTTCCTTCCTCCCTTCCTTCGATGACCTTGAACTCCTGATCCTCCTGCCTCTACCTCCCTATTGCTTGCATTACAAGTTAACTTTCTTTCTCGTGGTGTTGGGGATCAAAGCAAATCCAGGGCCTTGTACACAGCAGGCTTTTCGACTGGAGGTGTGAGAAGAGTCCTCAAGGGCTTCCTTAGGCCAGATCCCCACTAGCCACTGGATGCTCTGTGGCTACTGGGAGCAGCTCTCCAGATCATGCAGGCCCCAGGCAGGCTGTGCAACCTCCCTGTGTGGGGCATGCTGCTGTTTCACTCTTGACATGAGCTGGAGGGCAAAGGCTCCCTTCTGGGGTTTTCTATAAGAGTTAGAGTGGAATATATTTGATTTGGGATTGAGGCATGATTCATTTTTTTCAAAATAAAAGGCTAGAAAAGCCTTTCTTAATAATTTTTATCCACATCATGACTTGGGTCATTTTCGAATTTAGAAGCCTCTGCGTGACAGAACAGTGCAGAATGTTTTGGCTCCTGATGCTGCATCTGGCTTTCCCGGTGCTGAGTCCTCAGTGAGGGACATGGAGGGAGTTGGAACCTGGTGAGGAGAGCTGCCCTCCCCGACCCCAGGCCAGACAGCAGCGTACTGCAATGAACTGGGCCTTGCTGGTTTGTTCTGTCCCAGCTGTGGCCTTGGGTGAGGAGTACCTCTGAGCTTCCTTCTCCTCACCTCGGCAATGGGCTTGAAGCTCCTCAGTCACCAGCTTGTCTGGTTCTGTCTGAGCTGAGCTGGCACTCAAGGAAGCTTGGCACATAGTGTCCAGCCCATCTCAGTGCCCAGCACACAGACCCCATTCAGAAAAATCTCCATTCTCTCATCGAGGACATTTCTGCCTCTACATTTTGAGACAGTGTGCATTGCCTGGAAAATACTGGGATATTGTTTTCACCCAGTTGCTTAAATACTAGCTGGGGCAGATGGGATCAGAGTGCAGTCGTTACCACATAGCTATGTGCCTGGGTCCAAATGTTGGGGGCTGGCCTTTGTACTGTTCCTCTGGGATCTGCTGGGAAGCTCTCCTGCCACTGCCCCTGTGGTGCCCAGCCTCCACGTGTCATTACTCATTTGATGTGGTCACGGACTGCTTTCTAAAGTTTCACCATTTGTGTAAACCTGTTCTTGATGGTTTTTAGAGACTTGTGGCTGGAGGAAGGAGCTTCACTTGTCCTGGTGACTGGCCATCGTGTTGTTCACACCACACAGGAGTGCAGTGGACATACATACTCCCCAGCAAATGCCCCCTGTGTGGAGGGTATGAGAAGCCAGCACTACATGTCTGGTGTCTAGAACCCAGCCTGCTGACTCCATGCACCTCAACTTGTTCTCTGTGGCCTTCTCCACCTCTGCCTTGATGTGGGTGGCTCTTCACTCAAGCACCCTTCACCTCTGTAGAAACAGAGTAGGCAAGCTATGCAGCTCTGTGCGGCTTCTCTGCGTGGCTCTGTGCTGGCTTCTTGGCCGTTTTACTTGGAAGGAATTCTGAAAGGGATCCCTTTGCTTCTCCTGTCCCGCCCAGGGAGCCCAGGTGGCTGTACTGCCTGTGAGTTAGGGATGGCTGTGGCTCTGGAGAGGTTACAACCCACTTTGGTCAGGAGGCCAGCAGGAGCTGGTTTTCTTTTTCTTTTTTCCTTTTTTTTTTTTTTTTTTTTTTGAGATAGGGTCTCCTTGTAGCCCCAGCTGTCCTAGAACTCACTGTGTAGACCAGGCTGGCCTCGAACTCACAGAGATCCGCCTGCCTCTGCCTCCCTAGCACTGGCAGCAAAGGCGCGCGCCGCCACGCCTGGCCCGGGAGCTTGTTTTAACTTATCTGTGAAGAAGTCGAAAGCAAATGGCCAATCTGCAATTCTGATTTATCTCATGCTGCCAGGAGGATGCATGTGGTTTTCTGAAGCAAAGCATGGACTTTGGGCACAAGAGAGGGGACATGGATGCCAGAGAGACAGTCAACAAAGACAGGTCCAGTGGGGGACACCAGAATTCACTTACCCCATTGTGGGTCCTAGGCTTCTGTCCTGTGCCATGGAGGTGAGGAGACAAGGTGCAGGGTAGGCGTCCTTCCTGCTCAGAGCCTCTCAGGACAGCCCTACCGGAGGCCGGCACCGGCTGCACTGTGTGCTGTCATTCTTGGCATGGGGTTCTTTTTCCCTGGTGGCAGTTGAATGTGTCTGTTCGTAACAACAAGCAGAATGTTTTTATTCTGGAATAATTTTCCTATGCAGATAAAATCAAATTGCATCCCATTTATCTGCTTGCTAATCTGATTTTGGTGCTGCTTTCCTGAGTTCTTCCACCTACCCACCCACCATCTATCCACCCACCTATACATCCATTTGTCCACCCACCTATTCATCTGTCCACCCAACTATCCCCCAACCCCTACTCATCCACCCACTCACCCACTCATCCATCCACCCACACATCCATCCATCCATTCATGCATCCATCTGTTCATCTACCCATCCACCCACCTACCCATTCACCCATCCATCCATCCATCCATCCATCCATCCATCCATCCATCCACCCATCCACCCATCCACCCACCCACCTACCTATTCACCTACCCATCTGCCTACCCACTCACCCATCTACCTTTCTCTGGACTCAGCTCCTTTGTACATTTTCATAATGATGGCCTATTCTATCACTATTTTGATGCTCAGACTGATCAGGATAGAGCCCTTGGAGCCCCTTCAACTGACCCCTGTGGTTTTTGTCCTGTACCCCTCACTCTTGGTCACTCCAGAGGGTGAAGAACTGTGGTCCTGTCACCTGGCTGCTCAGTTGAGAACAATAAGAATGACAGTCTGCTGAGGTGTCAGTGTTCCGTCATGACTGGCTTCTGTAGTAGAATCCAGAGCCCTATTTCAGGCCTCAAAACCAACAGCAGAACCGGGTCACCAGTGGTCTGTCTGCACCTGGCCCGTGGCAGTTGTCCTAGTTCTTCTTTCCTGTAGCTGTGATAAAATACCCTGATGAAAACAGCTTTTAGAGAGAAAGGGTTTATTCACCTCACAATCCCAGGTCACAGCCCATCACTGCTGGGAAGCCAAGGTGGGAACTTGAAGCAGCTGGTCACATTCATGGTCAGAGCAGTGGGAGATAAACGTGTGCATGCTTTGGGGTCTGTTTGCTTTCTCTACGCTCATGCAACTCAGAACCCAAACCTGGGGACCGGTGCTGCCCACTTTTAGACTGTCTTCCCATGCCAATATAATCTAGACAGTCCTCCACAGATACACCCTCATCAAGACTGTTGCAGGTGACTGTAGATTGTACCACGTTGGCAATTAAAACTAACCTTCACAGCAGGTCTTTAGCAACTTTGTGTATAGTCAGGGACAGACCCTGTAGGTGGGACTGTCACATCACCTCTTCTGAAATCCCCACCCCTTATCCCTCTCTGGCACCACCTGACAACACAGGTCAGTGTAGAAGCTGCATCCTGAGCCAAGGTCTCTGCATAGAAATAAGCTGGGGACTACTGGAGTGTATTACCTGCTAGTCAGTTTTTTGTTGCTGCGACAAATTACCAGAGGCAAGCCGTTTAAGGGAGGAAAGGGTCATTTTGGCTCATTGTTTCAGAGCTTTTGGTCTATGGTCCCTTGGCTCTGTTGGTTCTGGGCTTGTTGTCAAGTTGTACAACAAGGCAGGTGGGTGTGGGGAAGAGAGCAGCTCACTTCATGGAAGCAGAGACATGGGTAGAGCAGGGGGCCTGAGACAAGATAGATGCTTCTAGAACACATCCTCAGTTATCTACTTCCACTACCCAGGCCCCAGCCTCCAATAACCCATTTCACTGTGAACTCATCTGTGGGTAACGCATGAGTGGAATGAGACTTCAAGGCTGGAACCTTTAGGGGCCCTTCGTCTGCAAACCATAGTAACCTCCAAGTCCAAAGCCCTGGGTCATAGACTTTATCAGGAAGTGTAGGTGACCCCTGGAGACCCAGAAGAGCTTGGTCTGGGGACCGAGACTCCCTGCTGTGCTGCAGCATAATGTCGGCATCTGAGAGTCAGGTTTCAGAGCTGTTGTAGGGTTATTAGATAAGAGCTAATTTTGTTGAAAATGACTCAAAAGTACAATTTCTTGTTTTTAGAGTAGATGGTCAGAGCCATTTTCCCCCATTGAGGCCTTTCTTAGTCCTCGACAATAAAACAATTTTAGCAACTTGCAGGAAAAGGCTTACTTGTTCTCCAAAGCGTGGGGACATGAACTAGACTCACCCCAAAGGCTTCAAGCAACTATGGTGCAGGCCAACAAGAAAAGGAGCAAAAGGCCTTTGTTTAATTCTGATCCGAAATTCAATTAGTCAAATGTGTACTGCTCAGTGGCCAAGATGAACCTGGTCCTGGCCAGCTCCTGGCTTGGGATGATCAGGAATGATGTCATCGAGGAATGATGTCACTGCTGCGGGCTACATACAGGCTGTTGCCAGGCACTGTGCCCCATGAGTGTGGCAGAGGTTAGCCGTAAGGACTGCTGCGTTCCTTCAGAATTCTGCACAGGAAGGTAGAAGGTGTCTGAGGATGACCTTGAACTCCTGACCCTGTTGCCTCCTCCCAGTGCCAGTATTACATGTGTACACCACCGTGCTCAGCATTGTTAAAGAACTTGGCCTAGGGTTCAATTAACCAGTGATCCATTGCTTGCTTTTTTTTCCTGAACTGGAAGAGGAAAGAGTTCTGGGGCTAATTGAGGTGTCTACACTGATAGAGACCAACCCCTTCTGCCAGAGTGGCTTGGAGTGGTGGACTTCAGCTTTCAACTGGACTGTTGAGGCAGCACAGCCTTAGAGGCTCAGTTGCTTTTAGCCTTTTGGACAACTTTACAATGTATCCTCCACAACCTCCATATTAATTAGGTTCACACTGTGACCCACCAGGCACATACCACGGCCTCCCAGGTCCATGCCGTGGTTTTACCAGGCTTGTACCATGATCCAGAATCTTCTTTGGTCCTTGGTGTATTCACCAGCTTTACCAACCCTAAACATTTTTTCCATTATTGCTGCTTGGTGTCAGTAGGACATGTACAGCTGTTCGGGAGTATGTGGCTGGCCTGGCCCTGCTCACCTGCATTGTATCTGCTCTTTCTGGTGATTTTAGCCCCACTGGGCCCTGGAGCAGTGTGCCTACCATGTGGTTGTGGGCCAACGGGCCAGTTTCAGGAGCTGTGCCGAGAGGGCCTATGTACACTTTGCTTGGACGTAGGATGGAGAAGGAGAGGCCGGGGAGGCTCTGTTTGTTCCTGTGCCGTTCTAAAGGGGTATGTTTGCTGTCACTGCCTGGCTTAGCCTTCCACTGTTGCCTAGCGTGACCCCAGTTAGTCACAGAACACTGAGGAGACTCAGAATTTTAAAATGTCAGCTGTCCCCACGTGGAACGGAGAAAGACAGTCCCACCCTGGACACTTGATCCCCAGGGTTCTGCGGCAGCTTCATCAGACTGATACAGGAGTCTTTTTTCTGCAGAGATTCAGGTTAAGGGAGTTCTGTTGGCTTTAGGTCAGGTACCTTGAACAATTGTTTTTCTTAGAGGTGCATTTTATAAAAGGACATTTGATGTAGAGGTTGAACTGTGAGTGTATACCACAGCTCTGTCGTCTGCCCATGAGTACACACTCAGGCTGGGAGGCTGTGCTCTGCCTAGCACCCAGCAGCCCACTTTCATCAGTGTCAACACTTAGCACCTTCCCGCCTGCCCAGTGCTGCCATTTTGCACCAGCAGCTGCTCTGTGTTCACAGAGAAGTGTTGTCTTAAGAAGGGAAGAGGAGTGAAGACTTTGTTGACCTACTGTGTGTCGGGTGACATGATAGGCACCAACAGTGACCTGCACAGGTCTGAAGGCCGCTCCCTCTTTCCTGCTTGCATGCAGAACCCATGGGAACACCTGTGCCAGGCAGGTAGCAGATGGACGGATGAACATGGCTCAGATCTGCTAGGTGCATGTTGTCTGTGCTACAGGCCTCGTTCATGAGAGGGCCTGGGTTAGCATGTACAGAGGTGATAACTGAGTCTGTACAGAATGTGCACAGTCCACAGGCAGGCCGCCATCCCAGGAGCAGAGGCTGCAGTCTACTCTCAACATCCACTTTCTTGGAGAGGTAGGAGAGGGAGAGCAGGGTCAGGTTGGGTCTGTCTGTCTGTCTGTCTGTCTGTCTGTCTGTCTGTCCAGTGAGTATCTCCCTGTGGAAACAGAGTAGGGGAGCCAGAGAAAGGAAGTGTCCTTTCAGCCACATGTACTATCAGAGTTCCTCTTCCTTTGCTGATTTTTATAAGCAAAAGCTGAGGTTCAGGCAGATAAAACATTCTGCGTGTGTTTCCAGCTGGTGGATCCTCCAGATGGTAAGCAGGATTTTCTGTCAACTCAAGATGCTTCTCAGTCTGGGAGGTTCCCTGGCCTCAGGCAGGTCCCTCGTAGGTGGGCGCCTGCAAGGTGTGCTCTTCTTGTAGTCAGCGGTGAAGTTTCGCCTCAGTACATAGCTTTGAAAGATGTGGACGCCGTCTGAAGTTGAGCTTCAGGGTGCATCCACTGGGCCGTTTCCTGGGAGCAGCAGGGTAAGTGCAGACTGGATGGGGCGTGTGGCACGGCTTTGGTTCTCACCAGCTCACAGCTGGATTCAGATAGGAAGGTGAGGTGATTCTGGTCCCGGATGATAGAGGAATGCAGGTGGGGAAGGAGTCTGAGAGTTGGAGAGTGGTGCTGCTGTGTGAGCCTTGGGGTGAGCCTTGTTTTGTAAGCACCATGTACAGTATGGGTTACCATAGGTGTTAGGTGAGTCCCTTGTGTCCTTCCCAACTGAGAGAGACAGCAACTTTTTAGGTTCTGTAAGGCGGCGCTTATTAGTGTAGATTAGGCTGCGCCTAACAGTGCAGTGGTTTACTGCGTACAGCACAGGTGTGTGTTGCTCATGCAGGTTGATGTGAATGGGCAGTATTCTAGGCAGTGGCCTGCTGCGTGACCAGCCCATGCTGTATTGTGTTTGGCCTCTTTGCCCTCCAACCTCTAGAATTGCTGCTTGGAGGACGAAGAGGTCAGAGCATCCTTTCAACAGAAGGACCTGTGTGGTTCCTGTTCACAGTTCTTTGGCCAAGCTGTGTGTATGGCTGTCCCTTCCTGTCCTTGGTGACTAGGAGGTGGAGTGGGGAGCCCGTGGGTCCAGCAGGGCCTCTGTGTCCCCCACCAGGCCTTCCAGTTTCTTCTACTCTTACTACTGCCTGTTCTGTCTCCAGTCTAGAAGTGCTCCTGATCCTTACGGTTCTCCTGAAAGACTGGTTCCAGGGGTCTCACAGTGGTGTGGTTCAGGGTACAGTGTCTGGTCATCAGCATTTTCACGTTCATGGAACTCTGGACAGTCACTTCACCTCTCTGGTGGAGTGTGGGCACTTCCCTCCCCTCGGCGTATCTTCTGTTTTCAGTCATCATCTGTCTCTCTCTCACATGGGGTCTGGAGTGCGAGTCTTGAGAGCAAACACTTGTGCTGTGTTTGAACAATAGGTGTGTGAAACTGTTGAGCCTCCCTGCCAGCCTCCGGCCACAGAAGGTGAAAAGCTTGCTGGGGCAGAACATGTCCATCAAGAGCCCCTTCATCTATTCACCAATCATCGCGCATACCCGTGGAGAGGAGCACGGCAAGAAAATCGGTATGCCAGCTGCCCTGGTCCCTGCCTCCTGGGGACCCTAGGTTGGTGGTGGCTTTCAAAACCAAAGACTAAGATTGTTGGGGTTGGAGAGATGGCTCAGCAGTTAAGAACACTGGTTGTTCTTGCAGAAGACCTGGGTTCGAATCCCAGCACCCACATGGCAGCTAACAACTGTCTATAACTCCAGTTCCAGGGGATCCAACAGCCTCTTCTGTCCTCGGGGGCATTGCATGACACGGGTGCGCTTACCTACATGCAGGCAATACATGCATACGCATAAAATAAAAATATATAAAAAATATTAAAAGACTAGGATCGAATTTCAAAGGCTCATGGCCATAGATGCACATGTCACACAGGTGAGGCTGTGTGTTTCCAGGTGGGACTCATAGTCTCAGGAATTCATCAACACTCCCTACCCCACCCTTTCAAGGTTTTACTCAGGATGAGCATGCCACCCACTGCTCTGCTGGACAGACAGACTGACCAAGGAATGAACTGATACCAGCTAACCCTAGAGTCCTCTGTCTGTGTTTTGTAGATTTCCAGTGGGTTCAAGGAGACGTGTGTGAGGTTCAGCTAATGGTCTACAACCCAATGCCGTTCGAGCTCCGCGTGGAGAACATGGTATGCGCCAACAGTCCTTCTGCATAAAGCCACCAACTGTCTGTTAAAATACACTTTTTTTTTGCTTAATGTTTGACACATCCTATGACGTCTGCCCGATTGTATGTCTCTTTTGCAAAGGACTGTGAGCTTCCTGTGTGTGAAGACCACGTTTTGTGGATTCTGTGTCTATGCTTGGCACCCAATAGTGTTTGAATCCACAGACCTGCCTCTGATGGCACACACACCAAGCTTAATTGATTGAACATTGATTTGAAATAGTCTCCTGGAGGTTTTCATGAGGTTGCCTCACTGATAGCCTCCCTTTCTGCCTGCCACTGGGAGGCGGCCGGGGCTCAGGGAACAAGCTGCGGTTGGGTGAGGGGAAGCTGCCACACTGTACCATGCCGTGGCCGTGGTCTGCCGTCCTGCCGGTCTGCTTCCAAGCCCTGTGGAGGGTGTCATTCACGCTGCAGTTGTGCCTGCTCCGTACTGAAAAGAAAGAATGGTCCATAGGTGCTCTGGAGTGCGGTTAACTGTTGCTGTATCTCCATGTTGTTCTTCCTTTTTCTTCACAAACAGTAATTTTTTGGTGTGGGGGGGGTCCACATTCTCATTTGACAAAACAACAAAGCAGAGTATCAGAATCATACTAAAACTGGGCATGGTAGCGCACACCTTTAATCCTAGCACTCGGGGCAGAGGCAGAGGCAGAGGCAGGTGGATCTCTGTGAGATCAAGGCTAGCCTGGTCTGCATAGCAAGTTCTAGGCCCTGGGTCTACAAGAAGACCCTGTCTCAACCTCCCCGTCTCCAGTTGTACCAGATAGGGCTTAACCCAGGGTAGAATTTTGCTTGCCACCTCTGTCCCCACAGTGTTGTCTGTGTCCAAGTTGCTTTGTGCCCGTTCCATCGGGGTCCCCCTTGACGTTCTCTCTCAGTTTTTGCAAAGCTGCTGGTCTTTTTATTCCCGTAGTTCTGCAATCAATGTTGCAGCCCTCACTAGGAATGTCTGGCCAGAATGGGTCTGGGCTGGGCCTCCTCATGACTCCCCTTGGCTTGTTTCAGGGGCTCCTCACCAGCGGAGTGGAGTTCGAGTCTCTTCCTGCAGCACTCTCCCTTCCCGCGGAGTCTGGTCTTTACCCGGTGACCCTGGTCGGGGTCCCCCAGACGACAGGAATGATCACTGTGAATGGTAAGGAGGGCTCCTTGGTGCTTTCCATCAGAACTCCGGGACCTGGTCTGTCCTCTGGTCCCAGACAGCCACATGATAGTGAGAAGATGGCAGTTCTTTCCAAAGTGACACGAGAAAAGCTAGTTTTGCCGTGTATGTGCTGGGTCCTGTTGTGCTGCTGGAAGGGTGGGGCAGGTCCTGTGCCCTGACTCCCCATCCCTACCTTCACCTGTCTCCTTCCTGCCATCGTCCTGGGCATAGCAGCTGGCGTGGGCTCGGCTTCTCTGACTACCTTCAAGCACCCCGCTCCCCCCTGCAATGCCGTGCCCCAGCTCTTCAGAGTGTGGGTCTAACTCTTGACAGTTAACAAAACTTGTGCCACTCCGGTCACGAGCTATACTTTTCTGACTAAACAGGGACTGCTTTTCAGAGTTCTCCTAATGTCCCTGTGCGAGGGCCAGCCTTCCTCTCTGGGCCATCTAGTCTTTCAACTTCTGAATGCTCTGCCCTCAGTCTTTGAGCAGGGCTCCGCAGTGCCCCTGCTTCCTTCCCTTCCTCGCTGCCCCCCACTTTCCCACCATTCTTCCCCCTGGCCCCGACTCTCTCTTCTTCCTAGGCTGCTGCTTCTGGTTTTCTTTTTTAAAAATTATTATTGTATGTGTGGTTTGCATGATGTGTGTATGGGGGGGTGTCACCTGCCACCACATGCATGTGAAAGTCGGACGGCAACTTTGTGGCGTTGGTTCGAAATTTCCTTCTACCTTTATGTGGGTTCCAGATCCAACTCAGGCACCAGACTTGCATGGCAAGCACTTTTTCTGGCCGAGCCATCTCTGTGGACCTTTCCTGGCTTCTCTGACTTCCTGTTCTCCCTCTTTCCTCTTCCTGCTTCTCATCCTTCCCAAGCCGGGGACCTCCTGCCTTCAGTCCTGTCACGCCACTGAGCCTCCTCCCCGAGGCCGCGTCCCTTCCCCAGACTTGTACATTCATCTTCTTTCCCTGCCATCTTCTTGAGTGTCCTGTGCTCTCTTCACGTACAGAGCACCCAGACCCCCTTCTCTTCCCTAAAGTGGCCCCTCTCCTGGAGGTCCCCATCTCAGTGAAATGTGTCTGTGGGCCAGTTGTGCTGATCAGCTTCTAGGATCTGTGTTCAGTTAGTCTGTCTCCTGCTTCCCAGACACCGCATAGGACCAACTGTTTCCTGCCGCCTGTATGGCTATTTCCTGACTGGCAAGTCATGACTCCATTGCAGGGTTTATCATAGCATTGACCTAGTCTTCTGCCAGTGGGCCCACACTGAGGCCCCTGTCAGCTCCTTTCAGTTGGCCAGAAGCCCCTGCTTTACCCTGTCTTGTTTCAAGGTGGAACTCCTGAGCCCTGTGCTGCCACCACCCCTCAGTCTTCCCTCCCTCCCCTCCTGCAAGGTTGCACTTGGCTGCTGCAAGGCTCCCGCGAGTCCCACAGCTCCCCTGACTTCTGAGTCTTACCTGGGCCTCTCCTTGAGGGCTTCTGTGCCTCCACCAGTCTCTGTGCAGGCTTTAGTCCTCAATGTCCCTGTCATGCTCCTGTGACGGTCTGTCCACCTTCTTTTCTATGGTTTCGTTGCTGGCCTTTGCCTGTCATGCTCCTGTGACGGTCTGTCCACCTTCTTTTCCATGGTTTCGTTGCTGGCCTTTGCCTGGTGGCCTTGCCTGTGTGATTCAGCAGCATCAGCGTGGGTGTTGTCTGGCGATGCCGCAGCAAGTGCTGAGATGGAGGTGGATGTGTGAGAGCCGGGGTGTGGCAGGGACCCAGCAGGGAGGTGGGTGACAGAGGCCTGCCTTAGCAGGTGACCCTGAGTTTTGAAGGCCCACCAGAAAACTGTTCAGATGAGGGAAGTGGGCGATGAGGAGCAGGGTAGTACCCAGACCTAGGCAAGGGCAGAGCTAGCAGTTTCTCCGAAGATGGCGGGTGCATCTGGGGAGTAGGTAGGGATGGTCAGAGGACGTGGTCAGGGCAGGAGTGGGTAGTGATGGGGGAGATGGGATCATGGGGGCCTTGGGAATCACCCTGAAGCTCACTGGCTGTCTCCTGGGGCTTTGGGTAGCTGTGTCTTTGCACAGAGAGGAAGCTGATCAGCTTTAGAGTCACTTGATCACAGGCTGTGGTGTGGGGCCTGGGAGACTGAGCATCCAGCTTCAGAGAGGCCAGCTGGGAAGGACACAGGCAGGACTGTGGCCTTGATGAGGAGAGTTAGACCTGAAGGGCTGGTCTAGGGACAGCAGCAGCTAGAGAGTGAGAGCTTCAGAGGAGACCTCTTGGGCAGTCGTCAGTGTCAGTGCTCACTTCTGGTGTGCCTTAGCTCCCTGGGTTAGCGTATGTCACTCGTGTTGCTGTGGTTTTAAGCAAGGGAAAATGACTGATTTTAATTAACAATTGTAAAATAATAGGTGCTTAATAGACAAAATCACATCATGTTTTATACTGAGGAATGTGTCAGAGTATTTGTGCCAGAGGGGGCTCCTGGGAGGAAGAGGCTTGCCAGTAGAAGCAGGCTCTGAGAGACTAGGGTGGGAAAGCGGGATATGGCTGTGCCAGGGAAGAGGCTGGTGATGCCCTGGAGTTGTCACCCTGGGGTTCCAGCTGCTAGGCCTTGTTTAGTTCTCTTACACAGTGAGTGTTGTTTACAGTAATCATCTTTTGAAATGTCGAAAGCCATTTTAAAGCTTTGCTTAAACAATCTCAAGTGTCTCTAGCCCACAGGCTTTTTCTCTGATGCAGGGGCCTGTGCTGATCCTAAATTATGGTCCTTGCACTCGTGCAGTGTGCAACGGAGTTGCCACATCACCAAGCAGCTGTAATGACAATAATTGGCTCTTGAACCTTAATCTCTCAACAGAAGTTTCTGAAGCATTCCTCAAATGCTCATTAAGTTTCCTTATGTCCTGAAAAGGAATATTGACTATCATTCTCTTGTTAGAGATGCTAAATATGAAATGCATATTAATGTTTAAGAGACAAGATGGAGACAGACTGTACAGACTGAGGGTGTGTATTGCCCTTCACATGGACTCTTCATGTGGACCTGTCCCAGCTTGGGACTTAGGGCACAGGTAGCATGCGTTACCAGTTCTCTTCTGCCCAAGGACATCCAGGGTCTTTGGGGTGCAGGAGGCAGCAGGTAATGATGGGGGACTCCTGGCCTTTTCGTGACATTGACAGGGGCATGCTTGGCCACTCACCAAGAGGTGCAAAGCCTATTGCCTGTGTTGCAGGTTACCACACCACCGTCTTTGGGGTCTTCAGCGACTGCCTTCTGGACAACCTCCCAGGAGTGAAAACCAGCGGGTCCACTGTGGAGGTCATTCCAGCCTTGCCCAGACTACAGATCAGTACATCCCTTCCCAGGTAAGGGGCCCTGGGGTGCAGAGTCTGTGATCGGAAGGAATGGCTCTTAGGAATGCTTCCTAGGTTTAAATTTCTTAGAAATAGCGCAGAGCTGTGGTTAATCGACTTCCATAGAGCAGAGTATGGAGGAGGACTTCAAAGGAGCCCACAGAGTGCTCTGCTGAAAACAAACAGGAGTGCTGCTGACGTCCTTCTTCCCAGAGCAAGGGGCCGTAACCACTGGAATCGGAGTCACAAAAGTGGTTAAGGTTTTAGGACTTTTAAGAAGAACTCTTGGGGACCTGGGGAGATGGCTCAGTGGGGAAAGTGCTCACTGAAAAAGCATGAGGACCTGAGTTCAGATCCCCAGTACCATGTAAAAAGCTAGGCGTGGTGGCACATGCCTGTAACCCCAGGTTAGCAGACAGGATCCTGAGCTAGCCGAGATTCAGGGAGAGACCTCTCTCAATAGGGTGGGGATACAGTCAGGGAAGACATCCTAACTTCGGCCTCTGCCCTGCGTATGCATGTGTACCTCCATGCACACACATGCGTACACATGCATACACACACTTACACATAAAAAAATAAATTAAAAAAATTATAAAAAAAACTGGCAAAAGGTCTGGATAACTTTCAGTACAAAAGATGTTACGGACAACTAATAAGCATCCTGGAAAGATGCGCAGTTATGAGTCTCTGTGGGGCTGGTGTGGCCTCTGTTCCCTGAGATGGCAGCTCATCCTGGGGTATCTGTGATTGGCAGGCAGGCAACAGCCAAGCCCAGAGGGGTTGCAGGTGCTGGAGGGAATGTAGCGTGGTCTGCCCATTGCAAAGATGGGCAGCTACATCAGTTTGCTCTGTGACCCGGCTCTTCTACTCCTAGGTGTCTACCCAAGATGGATGGTAGTACAGGTGGACATGAAACCTTGTATATGAATGTCCATCACAGCACTTATTCCCAACAGTCAGAGCAGTACAGAGGACCCCCTTGTCTGTCAGCGGATGAATGATCAGTGATCAATGAATGATCATGCTTGTAGATGGAATGCTTCTCAGTAGTGAAGAGGAGGCTTGTTGAGTTAAGGAAGCCACATCAAATGTGACTTCTGTTATGCAAAATGCTCAGGAGGGAGACAGGAGGGAGGTCAGCAGCAGGGGGTGGGGTAGTGTTTGGATTCCTGTGTACCAAGGCATCTCTTTAGGGTCATGGAAATATGTGAAAATGGATTCTCCGTGGTGGCTGTACAACTTTGAGTTTCCTGAAATGCTTGTAGATGAGGAGCAGGTAAACTTTACATCTGTTGTCACATTCAGTTTAGTGAAGTAGCCAGATGATTTTGGTGTGGCCACAGTGTAGGACGAACACCCTGCCTCAGCTGAGGGTGTGCAGCCTTGGGAGAGTGTTCCTTCTTTATCCTCTGTGGGAGTGGGCTGCTTCCAGCCCCATAGCTCCAAGGCCTTGACTCAGTACCCACTGTGCCTCAGTACCCACTGTGCCTCAGTACCCACTGTCCCTCAGTACCCACTGTGCCTCAGTACTCACTGTGCCTCCTAGTTTCCAGGAGCCCAGATGGAGCCTGGGTAGGAGAGACACAGCTCTAGGATGCAGGTTGAAGACATGAGCTTATGGGCTTCTCCCCTGACCACAGGGTGAGCCAGAGGGAGCAGCTGTGAAGGTGACAGCCACCTGGTAGGTCCTCAGTCACCGGTCCAGAAGAGTCAGGTGGTGCTGGCTGGCTTAGGGGAGAACACCGTGGGGCAGGGGCAGAGGCCCTGTGCCACCTGCCCACCGCTACAGCTCACTGAAGCTCACCTCTGCAGCGGCATCGGCCGGGAAGGACATGCTCTTGAAGCTGTTGATCCAGCTCTGCGCTCTCTCCCTTGGTTTTCTCTTACTTTTAGAGAAGCTTCCAGACATGGGCTCTGCCCCACCTCTCTGATTTTAGCATCCTGTGGTGTGCTTTAATGAGTGCACATGTATTTTTAGTGTCTTAACTTCCAGTGGGAAGGCTGACCAGTCTGCTTGGAGGGAGCCTGGAGCATGGAGCAGAGGGGTAGTTTTGCCCAGGCTGTTTTTTTTTTTTTTTTAATGTAGGTAAGTGCACCCATGTCGTGCAATGCCCGTGGAGGTCAGAAGAGGCCGTCGGATCCCTTGGGACCGGAGTTACAGACAGTTGCTAGCTGCCATGTGTGTGCTGGGATTCAAACCTGGGTCTTCTCCAAGAATAGTTAGTGTTCTTAACCGCTGAGCCATCTCTCCAGCCCCCAGGCTGGGGGTTTTCTCCCTTGGAGAGAGGACAGCAGATGGGGAGAGGTTCCTCTGGGAATGATTTGGAGTTAAAAGGTTTCATTTTTGAAAATGTATGCATTTTTCTGTGCTGATTTTCTGCACAAGAAGGGACTGTTCAGTAGTTGACTCTGTCCTGATGTAAGTGTCTCCTAGACAGATTCATCAAACCCACCAACACTTACACCTGTCGTGTGTTTTCGGCAGGATGGAATGACAGGAAGTTCAAAATGCCCTTGACCTTGGCCTTACTCTGTGTGAGCCCAGTGTGGGAGCAGAGTTAGATCACCAACTGTTCCCAAAACACCACAACCATTGAGGAGAGAGCATGAGTCATGCTGGGACTCAAGATGGCTTCATGGGGTTGCTTAGACTTCTCATGGGAGCCACAAAATCTGGTCAGCTTTGCAAGCAAGGGAAAAAACGCCAAGTCAAAGATCAGCATGTCAACATGTGAATGGACACCATTGGGAGGTGGAACCAAGTGCCTTGGTGAGCAGATGCTCAGACATGCAGATACCCAGCTCCACAGAAGAGTGTCATCCCACAGAGTGGGGACAGTGAGGCAGAGGGCCTTCTGGGCAGGTGCTGAGCCCTGGCCAGGGACTCAGCCAGAGGCAGGTGGCCTAGCGGTTAGGAGTGAGGTACTGTACCGACATTCTCTGTGGCTGAGAGGTTGCTGTGATGTGAGGCCCCCCTGAGGGGGTAGGCAGCTATTCAGAGGGTCGCTGGGTGGTTACTGCTTCAGGCTGGTTACTGCTCGGATGCTTTTCCGGATTGCATAGGCAGGCGGCTCCAATTTCAGGTGCTCACTCATTTGTCCAGCTATGTGAAATGCATTGCTGTTCTGTGCCTGGTTGTGGTGAGGAGCTGGTTGTATAGAAATGAAAATATTGTCCCTGACTTGAAAAAGTTCTTGATGTGTTGGGTGAGGAGCGTTGTGCTACACAGAGGGTGCTCTGCCCAGTGCTGGGGACTTGAGGGAGGCCATAGGACCATGGAGCCTCAGCTTTGGCACGGCTGCTTTCTTCAGTGTGTGGAGGGAGGAAGAAGGCCATGCAGGCTGCTAGGAAATGTGGGCCGATCTTGAAGGGAGATATGAAAGGCCCCAAGAGGGGCCGCAGCCAGGCTCAGTGCTCTGGCACCAGCCGCAGCTCTCCTGGACCGAGCTGAACGTCCACTCCTGGCAGCTCGGTTCCTGGCAGCTTAGAACTCTTCCTCTTAAATTCATGGGTTCCTCTCATCCTCAGGGATTCTGAACAGAGAGCAAGACCACCATGGTTCATTTAAACTCATCCACTGTGACTAGCATTTAAAATATTTTTTTCAGTATATATTTTTTGTTGGATTTCTATGATGCTTCATGCAGGAACTCAGGTTGAATGAGGTGACTTGGTGGGTAAGCAGCAATGTCTTGCTGTGTCTACTCACCGGAAGCGCTGGGAACAGGCAGTTGGTGGTTTTTCTTAAAAAATTTAGTTAGGGCTGGAGAGGTGGCTCAGGGTTAAGAGCATGGGTAGCTCTTGCCAAAGTCCCAGGTTCGATTCCTAGCACCCACACAGTGGCTAACAACTGTCCTTAACTCCAGTTCCAGGGGATCCAGCACCTTCTTTGGACCTCTACGGGCATTGCATGATGCAGGTGCTCTTACATACATATAGGCAATATGCTCCCACACATAAAATAGAAATAATATTTTACTGTAAAGAGTTTTAAAAACTAAACAGTGTGTGTGTGTGTGTGTGTGTGTGTGTGTCCATCCCCATCTGTGTCCACGTACAATGGTGTGGAAATAAGAGAGCTACTTTGTGAGGTCAGTTTTCTCCTTCCACCTTTACACGGGGTCCAGATCCAACTCACATCACCAGGCGTCCACCACAAACCTGCTGAGCTGTCTCGCTGGCCCTCACTTTGAGTTTTATTTATGAAAGCTGGGTGCCAAATCCCACGTGCAGCCAGGGCACCCCCCCCTGCTTCTGATCTGTGGGCCTATGCCGCCCTCTCACGCACTGCTGCTGGTCCGAGCACTCTGTTGGCATGTTCCCCACCATCATTCTTACTATCACTTTGATTTTAGGTCCGCACATTCATTGCAACCTTCCTCTGGTGATGAGATATCTACTAATGTATCTGTCCAGCTTTACAATGGAGAAACTCAGCAGCTCACCATCACCTTGGAGAACATTGGACTGGAGCCACTGGAGCAGCTGGAAGTCACTTCAAAGCTTCTCACCACCAAGGGTAGGCGGTGCTTGTCGGGGGTCGGGGTGGGAGATGGGACAGTGGGCTTTGGAGAACTAATGCTGGTTGTCCAAACTGCACCCGAATCCGCCCCCCCCCGCCAAAGTTTAGTGATGCTGATTTCTTCCTTCCCTCCACCAGTGTACACTGCAGTTAGACAGGGGCTCTCAAGTGCCCAGGCCCTTTAATAAGCTGGCTGGTTATAGACTTTGGTTGTTTCTCCAACAAGCTGGTTAATATTGAATGACAGAAAATCCCTGCACTCACCCAAAGACAGTGTGAGCAGAGCATCTGCCTAGTGCTTCCGCCCCGTCTGTGCCCTCAGCCCCTCCTGCTCTGCTCATATCTCATTAGGAACATGTTTCCAAGTTGTGGACATGACACTCACCGCCTTAAGCTGTCAGTCACTTTCCCTCCTTGGCTCAGCTGCTGTCTTCTCTGCTCCTGCTTTGCTTCCTCTGCTCAGTCAGTTCATCCTTTGGGACCCAGCAGGGCCAGCACACTTCTGAAAGCCTTCCTAGGACTGGGGTGTTGGGTCCCCCTCTGCTGCCTGAGCATATGTACCCTACCTGCCCTGGGGCTGCCCGTTGACTGGCCCTAGCTGGACCACGAGTCTCAAAGGCAGGTTTTTTATGCTCAGGGCCTCGTGTACGGCAGTTGCTCAGGACTGAGGGCCTGTGACAGAGTCATCGTCACACTGAAGGAATAGGGCAGTGACAGACAGTTGTGCTTGCTGGTAGAGGGGGCAACAAATAAAGGTGTGGAGCTGCTTCAAAGCCCCGCTGCATCGTGTGGCCCCTTGGCCTGTGCTCCCTGCCGGCCGTGCTCTGGGAAAGTCTCAGACCCTTCCTCCTCCCTGGAGTCCTTGGGCTGCTGAGGCTTCCCAGCTCCACTGTGCTTGGGTCTTGATTCTCTCTTGCCTTTCTGGGCCACCGTCGTAGCCTTTGGTGCTCCCGTGTCTTTGAATTCTTCTGAAACTTCCTGTTCATTTCAGCCACCCCTCCTTCCCATGCTTGTTATAGGAGCACCCGGATGTATGGAAGGGAGGAAGGATTCCATGGCAAGCACCTGCATCCTGTGACTGGGCTCTGGTTAGGCTTTGCTATACCTGCTCCACCCATGTCTCACTGAGCCTCCTGTCTGTCCACTCATCCTCTGTTTCTAGTACTGTTCACCTTTGCAGATGGCAGTACATCTTACCTCTGGGAGCTTTGGCATGGTTAGTAATTCAAGGCTAGTTTCTTTTTCTTCACTGTATATGCAGTGAAATGTTCACGCCTTCAGTACTGTTTGATGAGTTTTGACAAATGCATATGACTGTCTAGTCCAAACCCCTGCCAGGGTGCAGTGTGGAATATTTCCATCACCTGAGCAGGTTCCTTCGTGTCCCTGCCTAGCGGATCCCTGCTCAGAGGCAACCACACTTCTCATGTTGGTTTTCCCGTCATGCCCTGTGCACACCTGATCTGTCCTTTGCTGTGTTCCCCTGTGCTTACCTCTGCAGGGTCCTGGAACAGGAGCAGGGAGCACCACTGTCTGTACTTTACGGCCAGGAACAGTAAAAGCAGCAAAGGCCGGTCACCTGTCTTAGGTCATAGGCTCATGAGGAATCGGGATGAGATACAGGATCCTAATTCTTGTAGCTTTCTGTGTCAACATACAGTGGGTTTCATTGTCTTTTCATACATGCAGTGCATACTTTTCCAGACCCCATTTCTCTGGTCTGGTGGCCTTACTCTTTATCACAAGGGAAGAAGGCACTCAGACATGTGATGTGTAGCCCAGCGCAGCCATTTTCAAAACAACATGGTTACAAGAGAAAGATGAACGTGATCATTTTTTTATTACTGTTCCAGGCAGCAGTACATTTACATGTAGAATTAAATTAATGAAAACAAGCCATCTGCTTCCAAAACACACAGTGGGAATAATCCCTGTGGTTTGCATTCTGCAGTCTTGCAAAGCTGTGGGCATCAACATATGACCTGCCCAGTGGGAGTAGATGAGGAACTGTCTTCAGATTAAGTGCTGTCTACTTTCGATTTCCTGTGATCTCTATTGGAAGTCCAGAGGGTTGAGCTTTTCTGGAGGTCTTTTTAGTGTCCAACTGTGAGACTTTGCCCTCTTTGGGTTTGGTTGCTAATTTCCTTGTCTTGAGATAGCATCTTTTCTATCCCAGTGATAATAGGAGCCTTTCCTGTTCCCCACCCCCCAGCGCTAGGTGAGGGGCTCTTCTCATTTTTTCCTCATGAAATGTTCCCAAACACCATAGGGGTCTTTGGGACAGGGTGGTAGACTGGTCCTTTCACCGCTGGGACCTGAGTACAGATCTGGCATGGTGACACTAAGTGTAAGTACACAGGACAGGGCATCCTAGCGGTATCTGGAAGCCCTGGGGGACACGCCTGGTCAGAGCCCTTCACGGACATTCTCCTCTAAGAGTTAGAATCTCAAGCAGGGTGTGGTAGGGAGTACCTTTAATCCCAGAACTCTGGCAGTAGAGGCAGGTGGATCTCTGTGAGTTCAAGGCCAGCCAGGGCTATAGTGAGACCCTGTCTGATCCACCTCTCAAGTCAGGGTGCTGTCTTGATCTGTAACATGCTTCAAAGCCCCTTTGCATCAAGCTCTGTGCTGAGGACCAGTGGCGGAAGGGCCCAGGAGACCTTGTTCACAGTTTCCCACAGGATTGAGGTGTGCCTCCTCCATCATGCTTGAAGACAAAGACTAACCCCAGGACGCGCTCTTCTGATCCCATCTGACTTATAGTGGAGGCTTTGCAGGTTGTGAAAGGTGTAAACTGCCACCTTTGGTTAAAGTTTCACAGAGTTCATTTTAATTAAGATGAAATTAAGACACATGAATGAGTTTCCCCACAAATGTCCTAAGATAACTTAAGTGTCCATAGACATAGGGTTGGGGTTGGAGCTCCAGGGGAACACTTGCCTATCATGCATGAGGCCCTGGGTTTGATCTCCAGCACCCAAAACCACAAAACAAAGCCAAGGGAACAACAAATACACACAATATATGAAGGTGCTCACACCCCTGAGTGTCTTTATCTTTTTTCTTTAAAAATTAAAAGTTTTTGTATAATGGATATATGTATGGTGTGTGTGCATGTGGTATGTGTCTGTATGGTTTGTATGTATGATACTTCTGTGTATGATGTGTGTGTATTTATGGTTTGTATGCAGGATACATATGGTATATGTGTGTGGTTTGTATGTATGATACATGTATGTGTATGTGGTGAATGTGTGTATGATGTATATGATATGTTTATATATGGTGTGTATGTGTGTGTGGGCACACATGCCACCACACATGTGGAGGTCAGAGGGCAACCTCAGCGGTTGGTCCTCTCCTTCTGTCCTGTTTGAGAACAGGTCCCCTGCTGGTCCTTGCTGTGTGCACTGTGCTAAGTGGCCTGTGAGCTTCTGGGGACTGTCCTGTCTCTGCCTCCCCTCTTGCTGTAGGAGCACCAAGATAACAAACATGCACTAAGGCACCCAGCCTTGTGTGGGTTGTGGAGATTCGAACTCAGGTCCACATACTTATGTGGCGAGTGTCTTACCCACTGAGCTGTCCGTCCAGCCCTATTCACTCTTGGAGCTGAATTTTAAAAAAAAATAATTTATTGAGAATTTCATACATGCATCTAAGGTGTTTTGATCAAATCCAGGCCCACTCCCTCCCCTCCAACTCCCAGATCTCCCCATCACTTTTTTCTAACTTCATGTACTCTTCTTTTTTTTTTAAATGGGGTTTTTGGCTACCTAACCCCCCTCCCCTCAGAGGTAACCCTAAAATCTTTTAGGGATTAGGTAAGAGCTCCCAAATACTTTTGACATTTTTGACCTTTGGAACAGAGTATGTTGCTAAGAGGCCCAAGGGCATTTTGACTTTTAGCCAAGAAAATGGCTACTTTTCTTTGGGGTCTTTTTACACTAACTGCCTAGCCAGTTCCTGCCTTGGAGTTGAATTTTTAACAGGCAGTGATGCTTCCATGTTAGTATAATTAAAACTTCATAGGTGCTTTGGGGTGAGATGCTCTTTGTGGCTTGTTTTTCTCACAAACCTTGTGTGGCATTTCTTTGATTAGAAGCTTCTCACAGGGTGAAGGTCCATTGTAGCAACAGTGTCCATTCCGTTCTCAACGTGAAATAACCAATTTCATCGATGGCACCGAACAAAACCCTAGCATTAGGGCAGCGGCCGTTATTTCAGACACTACAGGAGGAGCCGGAGGGGCATAGACCACACTATTGATTTATGTGTTGTGTGTTATTCCTGAGTGTGTGCTGCCTTGGTGGAGTCTGAAAAGGCCCTTTGCTCATCCGTCCTGTAGCCCAGTATTGGAGGGGAGAAGCTGAAGCAGAAAAGCCCACTTCTGAGGCCTGAACTGAGCCTTGGTCTGACACCCGATTGAGCGAGTCAGCTTCTCTGTCGCTGCGGCTGCAGAGCCTGCTTTATACTGTAAGGTTCCTCTGTGCTGGGACTCAGATATAAATACTGTGGTTAGGTACATCAGAGGGGAGTCAGCTGTTCCCGAGAGTGGCTTTGCATTCGAATGTGTTATTCTTATGCCTCAGAACGTAATAACAAACACAAGCAACACAGTCAGGCATCTTTTGTGTAAGCCACCTGCTTGGGGAGGAGGGGTAGGACTACACGTGGGACTTTCCTGTAACTTGGTTACTGGCCTTTAGTGTGGGACTTGGGTCCGTGGTGATGCTCCTGTCTTGTCCTATGCCCTGCTTTGGAGTGTGTGGGTGTCGGACAGTCTGCCATATTGCATTTGCACACTGTCCCATTGCTGCTGCTGGTAGGGGCTGCTTGTTCATTACTGACTCTGTGGCCAGTGGGCACCAAGGTAGCTGAGTTCTCTGAGTGCTCACCAGGGTCCACCCTTCTTCCCCGTAGTGCTTCCTGGTGTCTTGGGTAGGTCTAACCTTGCCTAGCACTTGGTGGACAGGCAGACAGTGCTCCCTGCCTTGCTA